GAGACTGAGCGGCTGCGGTCCGGCGGCGACGGCGGCGGCGGCGCTGGCCGTGGACGGCGTCCCACGCGTCGCGGGCGGCGCCAGGCTCGGGCCCGACGTGAACTCGCCGATGCCGAGCTCGCCGAACATCTGACGAACAGTGACAGCGAAGTCAGCATGAGGCGGGCTGGGATGTACTGGGCACGACGTGGGGCGGGCGAGATGTGCTGGGCGCGACGTAGGGCGGGCGGGATGTGCTGGGCGCGACGTGGGGGGGGGGGATGTGCTGGGCGAGACATGAGGCGAGCTGAGAAGTGCTGGGCGCGGCATGGGGCGGGCTGGGATGTATGGGGCGCGGCCTAGGGCGTGGGCGAGGCACCGGCGGTCGCAGGGGGTGAACAGGCCCAGGCTCTTGACGTACGCCCCTCCCCCTCTCCCGACAAGCGTCTGGAAGCGAAGCCGTCCGAGTCATGCTGCTTCCATCAAAACTACCCATTTGAAACGCAATTCGAATGCAAATACAGTTCACTGTCTGCTCCGTCGCACACCGCATCCCACGCCAGACGCTAGCGCAGTGGTCAATGGGATGATCAATATCAAGCGTGCGCCCCTATCTGCGCAGGTACGTCGAGGGTCGGCCAGGGTCGGCGAACCCCTACGTGACTTTGACCACCTGTGACTGCGCGACTCGGCAGGCGTTCGCAGTAGTTCGCAAGACCGGAGTGCAGGGCTGAGCGGCGCAGCCATCGCGTGAGACTGCCACCCGTCCGGCGGTCTCACCTTGTCCATGGCCGAGGTGGGACCGGCGGCCGCCACCAGCTGCCCGGGCTCCGGCTGCGCCAGCGACGCGTTCAGCGCCTTCCTGCAAAAGGCGCGCCCGCACCGTCTCACAGGTACTCCAGGACAGGGACAGCGCAATTGGGTGCTCATACGGCGAACGCCGCTTCGGGTCACGGGGACTCCAGGGCAGGGGTGGTCCGACTGGGTGCCCACACGGCCAGCACCGACCCGGGTCACAGGGACTACAGGACAGGGGCCCGACAGTGGACAGGTTTTCCGACAGGGGCGGCCCGACTGGGTGCCCACACGGCCAACACCGCCTCGGGTCACGGGGACTCCAGGACAGGGGTGGTCCGACTGAGTGCCCACACGGTCAACAATGTCTCAGGTCACAGGGACTCCAGGACAGGGGTCCGACAGGGGACAGGTGGTCCGACAGGGGCGGCCCGACTGAGTGCCCACACGGCCAACAATGTCTCGGGTCACAGGGACTACAGGACAGCGGCGGCCTGACTGTGTGCCCACACAGCCAGCATCGCTCCGGGTCACGGCGGATGGACTGAGCGGTCATACAGCACGCGCTTAGCGCCGGCTGATGGCACTCGACGCTGGACACCGCCGCCTCGGCTCAACGACTGAGCGTTTCGCCCGGACCACATCATTATAGTGATTGGACCAGCCAAAACATCGTTTTTGAGCAGCGTGGATGGACCGTTACTGTTTGCTCGTCTTGATGCATGTGGTATGTTTCTTTTTGCCGAGACTTTTACACTGTAATATTTCTGCAGCTTTTGTCTTAATAGGTACTCGCCCAGTAGGAGAAGAGCATTACCTGACGGCACTTTTATTACGACAAGTCCACAGCGCTGGAGCGGAGCACGGCAATTGTTGAAGGTTGTAAAACTATGACAAGAATTAACGCTCTGTTCGCTCCATAAAATACAATTCGACTTCTTTTTGGTGGGTTGATTCCTTTAACATCCAGGCACACAAGCCACGCAGGGCGCCTAAAGACAGTGCCTCGGCCGGACAGTGCCCACTCAGCCGCTGCATGCGGTGGAAAAATCAGCAATGCTCCCAACCAAATTGGCTCGGCAAAGTGTAGATTTCACAACATGAAAAAACCGTGAGTGTTGTTTTTATGCAGTAGCCCGTGTGTGACAGTCCCAAAACGTATTCTAAAAATATCATGTCCCAGTACAAATGGACAGCGTTTGGCTATATTCCCCGCCTTGTCCGCCAATATGCTTACCAAACCCCAGCAGTTCCACACCGAACTCCTGGATCCCCCCCCCCGCCCCCCCCCCCCCCGGCAGTGTCGGCTGGCTGACTCACTGTTGCTCGTCTTTCATGGCGTTGAGCTGCGTCAGCTTGTCGCGGTGTTCTGTCTCGACGCGCTCCAACAGGTCCCGCACCAGCACCATCACGGCGTCAAACTGAGACACGGCCAGCCCGTTCTCAATGGCCAGTGGCATCAGGAACGGCAGCACCTTGGTGGCCATCACCTCCTTCGTCATGCCGAGCTTGTCGTTGCTCAGGGTCACCTTGTAGATGCCTGCGAACACGAGAGGTCGGGCGACGGCGGTAAGCGGGGCCAGTTAAGGAGGCTTCGGCAGTCGCGCGATTATATCACAAGTGGGACCTCACACAAGGGCCAGACGAAGGAGGTGATGGCTACAAGTGTACCAGATGGGCACGTGCGTGACGGTTGCCTGTGTACCAGGTCATCCCAATGGATGCGTGCCAACACCGCAGGCAGCGATCTCGAGACACGCCAGGCATTCGCTCCGACCACAGGTCATCCAGCGGGTCAATGCAACAATGCCAGCTTTCACAGTATTCTAAGAGATCTCTGCCGAGTGATCTCCTTAACCGGGTGCCGTCGTTCCGCAGCTCTCGCTGAGCGCCGAGCGCTCGGGCATCGGGGGTTCTCGCGGCAGTGAGAGCGTTCCCCCCTTCCCCCCTCGCAGTCAGCCGTCGGCGGGCCACCCACCGACGATAGCCATGACGACCGCCGGCTCCGGCTGGGGATCTGCGGCAGCAGCGGCAGCACCTCGTCCAGCACCAGCCAGCGGTCCAGGTGCGGCAGCAGCTTCCCGAGGCAGACCAGGCAGCTTACGCGCGGTCTGAGGCCGAGGCACATGGCTTCAGGGGAGCGTCAGAATGGCTCTGACGTGGACAACGGTCACAATACGGCTTCAGAAGCTGCCACACGAGGTCACGATGGGGGACATAACCACCCTGACGGGGACACAAAGGCCACAGCACAAAAACATTGGGGAGGACACGGGTCACAGTACGGGTCGAGGACGCGGGGTTCACAGTATGGGTCGAGACCATGAGGTCACACGAGGGGCGAAACAACTCTGACGCAGACACCGGGGGGTAGCAACACGGACACCCCGTACCTGTCCAATGTTGACACAACGCAAATTGCGTGAGTGTAACGCATCACCGTAATCTCAGGCGATTCGAGAACATGGCCCACGATCCGCAGCATTACGCACTCGTAATTGTGGCAGTTATATCCCTGTAGAGGTAGAGGGACGATCACGAACAGCATGTAACCACGAGCAAGCTCTGCTGCTTGCTGACACGACTCTCACCGATAGGTAGCCGTGCCTTGATCGGTTCTCGCGACGGGCACCCCACCCTCGGCGGACGGCACTCATCGACAGGCAGCCGTGCCTTGATTCGGTCCTTATGACATGCACGCCACAATCGGTGACGGCGCTCACCAACAAGTAGCCGCGCCTTGATTCGGTTCTCATGACGGGCACCCCACCCTCGGCGACGGCACTCACCGACAGGTAGCCGTGCCTTGATTCGGTTCTCATGACATGCACGCCACAGTCGGTGACAGCGCTCACCGACAAGTGGCCATGCCTTGATTCCGTTCTCACGACGGGCACCCCACACTCGGTGACGGCACTCACCGACAGATAGCCGGTGCTGAGGCAGAGCTGCTTGATGCGCGGCAGCAGGGCGTTCTTCATGCTCGGGTAATCTACCAGGCTGCCGACCTTCGGGATGACGCTGAGGCACAGTTCCTGGATCTGCTGCGTGTTGGACTCGAGAGCCCGGTACATGAGCGGCAGCACGTCGGCGCGCACCGCCTCCGGCGGCGTCTTGCTCAGCAGCAGCTCCAGACGTTGCATGAAGATCAACAGGATCTGCCACACACACAAGAATGCCGCTGGCGGAAGTGCGACATGGACGGCCCGCACAGCTTCCGTCTGGCTTTCTGACGTCACGAGCTCAGATGATGCGTCGTAGGGTGTTGTGGAGCTCCATCAAGGTCATGCCAGCGAGCAGATGATGGCGCAGGAGAGCGTGAAGCTCGTCCTGCGTCTCCTTAGCTGGTAAACTACATAGCTGGTATCATAAGTACAACTCGAAGCTCTCCCCAGACAACCTTGCGTGCGTTTGCCTTGCTTGAAGTCACGACCAACCAAATAATATCAAATGAAGAAAACATCACAACAGTTGCTTGTATTTGGTAAGGGAAAAATTCGTCAACATATGCTTAAACACCGGAGGAAGGAGCAAGTCCTCCACGAATGGTAACATCAACGAATTTCAATGCAGGATGATAATTACTGAATGCGAACAGGTTTACAGACGAGGGCAGGCCCACCCGGCAGCAACGCACCTGGATCGGCTCCTGGATCTTCATGACGGGCGCGAGCAGCGGCAGGATGTGCTGCACGTACTCCTCACGGCTCGAGTTCTCCGCTATCAGCATCGTGTTTGGCAACACGAACGGGATCATGGCCGCATTCACGAACTCCTTCGAGAGGCACGGCAGGATTCTGCAAGCGGACCATCAGTATCACAGTCAAGTCAGCTCAGCTAGCTTGATTGATTATACAGCTTGATGAAATACCAGCATCACCATAGTATGATACAAACTTAACATCTATTTCTCAGAATGGTGGCACCATCTGGATCGATTACCACACCAAACGTCTCGTACGCTGGTTTATGTATCCAAATATGGTAGGTAGCGTTGTTGGCGTCAATCAAAGCAGACCAGATGTCACAAATGCTAAGCATCTGAACAACGCTTTACAGCCATAAGCCATTGTGAATCACCCATGTGAATCAACACTTCACTCTTAATCAAACTCTGACAGAACAATACATGTGAATCATCTCTTCACTTTTCATCAAACTCCAACAGAAGAAAAGAGATAAAACGGCGAGGGAATTATTTAGACAGTTCGACGCTGCACCAATGTAGTGTGTCATAACATAACTGGGTTTCTGGACGCTACACTCACCGATTGAGACACACCCTGTGTGGCAGCTTGGGAATGATTTGAGGCAAGCCTTTGTAAAACTGGGACTTCTGCAGGTTGTCCCATTGAAATAGCGAATCCAAGTAATTCAGTGTCTTCACGCCAACATCGTCGAAGTAGGCGATCTGTAACAGTACGGGCATGATGTATCATTACACGCGAGACGTGGAGGCGACAGAGCCTTGAACGTCGCTGAGAATCGACGAATCCACGCAATACATCTGGTGTCACAATGGACCCCCACAATGCATGTCCTGGTAAACCACTTGGTACAGCGGTCTGCATTGGGTAACTAAAATGCACACAGCCTCGATTCGTCAAGCAGTGTACATCTCAGCACCGCTTGGCAGCAGTGGGCATGGCCTAGGCGAACTGAAATTGATGCCCCCTTCTCCCCCCCCCCCCCACCCCCCACCCTCTCCCATAACATTGGTAGGTATTGCTCTACAGAAATGATGGGTACTTCTTTGGTAAACTAGAGGCCACTTTCTCGGTGGAGCAATGGGCATTGCCTCGATAAACTGGTGGGCATTACGTCAGTGAACTGGTGGGTATTACCTCAATGAACTGGGTAGTATTACCCTGAACTGGTGAGCATTACCTTGGTGGACTAGTGAGCATGACCTCAGTGAGCTGGTCAGCATTACCTTGGTGAACTGATGCGCATCTGGCCGCAGATCGGGCGCCACGTTCAGCATCATCTTGACGGTCTCCCGCAGCTCGGACGGCACAGCCTCCAGCCGGCTGGGCGGCATGCGCTTCAGCTGCACGGAACGACCCGAACCACAGGATGGTGGTGAATACTCAGCCAGTGAATCTCTGATAATCTCTGTAACTGTAGCTCCTACGATTTCCACAGAGGGCTTTCTTTGTGGACGAAGTCTAGCTGTGTTGGCATGCGAATACATTTTTTCAAGTTCTTTCTCAAAGCTAAGCTTCCCCTAGTGACATGCCCGTTATCGCGGCGTTCGTTTAAAAGGAGGCTCTGCGCACCACTTAAAAAGCTCCCAAACAGCATTTCTTTTGGCCTTATGCACCCGCGACCAAAGTACTAGCTCGGCAAAGTATACGGCTTCATTAGTTTCTAAGGCCTGGCATACCTCGTCCGCTGTGGAAAACCCTGAAAATGTAACTTGGTCCAGTTCCCTAACCTGAACGCTGCCAGTACGACAGGAATGTACGCCCAGATCAGACAAGCCCACCGCTGCAGAGGTGTGCAGCGAGCGTCCTACGCTCACCTCGTTCATGGCCTTCTTGTAGGCGTACCAGTCGGCGGCGCAGTTGAAGACGGTGCCTCCGTGGGTGAAGACGGCGTACGCTAGGCAGGCCAGCGCGTACATGTCCGAGTAAGGCGTGAAGGCGAGGCAGAGCGCCGCCTCCGGGCACGTGTAGTCGAGTGACGGCTGCGCCAGCGGGTGCACGTCGGGGTCGTACTCCGGCACGGGCCACGACGGCTGCCCGTCACAGGTCAGCAGGTCAGCGGTCAGGTCACCTCCGACAAACAGATGGCGGCCTCGACCACAGCCCCGCGGCGAACAGTCCTCAGATAACATTCGAACGGGAGCCAGGGGAGCATGGGTCGGGGCAGCACGCGTGGGTCGGCAGCCAGACCACGACAGCAGCTGGAGTGGGGAGGCCGTCGGTTACAAGCCGCATTGGCTGCTGCGGAGCGATCAAACGTCAGCCAACACACATCACACGCGAGGTCGGCGGCTCGTCACCGCACGGTGACCCTTGCGCCGGAGACCAGGTACCCGGACGGCAGGCGACACGTCAGGGTTTGTCACCGCACGGCGACCCTTGCGCCGGAGACCAGGTACCCGGACGGCAGGCGACACGTCAGGGTTTGTCACCGCACAGTGACCCCTGCGCCGGAGACCAGGTACCCGGACGGCAGGCGACACGTCAGGGTTTGTCACCGCACGGTGACCCTTGCGCCGGAGACCAGGTACCCGGACGGCAGGCGACACGTCAGGGTTTGTCACCGCACGGCGACCCTTGCGCCGGAGACCAGGTACCCGGACGGCAGGCGACACGTCAGGGTTTGTCACCGCACAGTGACACTTGCGCCAGGTACCCGGATGGCAGACGACATCTCAGGGTTGGTCACGCACATTGACCCCTGCGCCGGGTACCCGGACGGCAGACGACACGTCAGGGTTTGTCACCGCACGGTGACCCCTGCGCCGGGGACCGGGTACCCGGACGGCAGACGACACGTCAGGGTTTGTCACCGCACGGTGACCCCTGCGCCGGGGACCGGGTACCCGGACGGCAGACGACACGTCAGGGTTTGTCACCGCGCGGTGACCCCTGCGCCGGGGACCGGGTACCCGGACGGCAGGCGACACGTCAGGGTTTGTCACCGCACGGTGACCCCTGCGCCGGGGACCGGGCACCCGGACGGCAGACGACACGTCAGGGTTTGTCACCGCACGGTGACCCCTGCGCCGGGGACCGGGTACCCGGACGGCAGACGACACGTCAGGGTTTGTCGCCACACGGTGACCCCTGCGCCGGGTACCCGGACGGCAGACGACACGTCAGGGTTCGTCACCGCAGGGTGACCCCTGCGCCGGAGACCGGGTACCCGGACGGCAGACGACACGTCAGGGTTTGTCACCGCAGGGTGACCCCTGCGCCGGAGACCGGGTACCCGGACGGCAGACGACACGTCAGAGTGCTCACCGGCTGGTCGGCCGGCGCCCGGTTGGCCACGCAGAACTCCAAGCCGGCCACCTTCCAGGCGCCGGCCCGGTTGATGACCACCGATTCGGGGCACAGGTTGCGGTGCAGCATCTTGACGTCGCCGTGCAGGAAGGCCAGGCCCTGGCCGAGCTGCCGACCCAGCGACACCCCGTCAGCCGCAGATGTCCCCGGCCGGCACGCGGCCGGCGGCAGCAGGTGCAGTGGACGCTCCCGCGGATCCGTCCAGTTATTACCCAGTTTCATATGAATCGTTTGCAGAATTCGCACAGTAAATTTAAGCCAGAAGTTATCAATTATGTGACAGCGTAAGCTCACCATTCTGAGGAAAGGCCAAACCGAACAATCCAAACTACTATACATTTTGGCGTCACCGCTCTTTAGTTCGCTTTTGCTGCCGCTCTTTACCACTTCATTCAAAGCGTTTCATTTCGGGGGGTAGTTACTGTTTACCGAAGACGTGTTCCATGTCAAGAATTTCTGTGGTAGTCATAATTTGAGCTTTAGGTGCGGTAACAAGAAAAAATAGCTTCTAAACAAATCTTTCAAACCTAACCGGTACAGAGGAAAGCGAAACCGCCATTCTATCACTCAAGATCACGGTTCAGAGCATTGTATCATTATGACAGTAGTACAGCCTCTTTTGCTCCATGATGGCAACGAAGGGAAGACAGAAGGGAGTGCCATGGTTATGTCGATGACGCTAATGCATATGCCATCGAAGCTAGTCGGTTCCGAAGCCCGCACAAATGTGTCCGGTCAATGCAGTGGAATATCCGTATTTCATGAGCTTGGCGGGCCGACATCCGACATCCGACATCATCCAGGCGTGAAGGGTGGGCACCATGGGGAATCGAACCCCGTACCCGTTTTCTCAGACGCGCAACTACACCACTACACCATCGATGGCCTACACGACACATAGCGTACCGGAGCACATGCACGACCGAGAACGCCTGAAAAATGATCATGCTGGGGCCTCCCGGGGTCTGACCATTGCAGCTCACGGAATCGATGAATTTGGAGTGGTTCAAGTTCTAAATGAACGTGAAAAATAACTGCAAAGTGGCGAACGTGTTCGTCCAGGGGCCATGCCGAAGAACGAGCTGCATACTGCAATGTTGGTATCGAAAGCTTGAAAAAGAAAGGAAACATAAAAACCAGACGGAAATGGCACACCACTCTACGCATGCCACTCAATCTCCGCGGGCCCGACCACTCAATCACGGCCAAACAGATAACGAGGCACGACGGCTGACATCAACCTCATGCCACACCCCAAGCCCCGCCGCACTCGAGACCCCTCTCTGCGTCCACCGAGCGCGTCGCTCGGCTCCGTCCGCGCCGGCCGGCCCCGCGGCGCCACTGACCTGCAGCAGGCCGTACTTGACCTCCACCTGGTGCAGCTTGTGGTCGCGCAGCGCCGCCGGCGTCGGCGTCGGCGTGTTCTCCGTCTGGCCGAGAACGTTGGCCAGACTGGCGAACACGGGCTCCGTGGCGAAGGCCAGACTCTCCCTGAGGACCATCGGAACGCGTTAGTCCGGCCTTAGGTGACACCACACGGCGCTGTCGGCGTTCACCGACATGGGGGAATGGGGTCTCTAGAAGCCTACCACGGCAATGGCAACATTTAAACATTAACTATCAAACCTACGGATAAACACATGTGGACAACATGACCATTATACAGACTGAACCGCTGCCAGTTCTATTGTACAGTCCAACACAGAGATGTACCCGTTAAACGATTTCATAGCGAACTTGTCCGAATCACATTCATTGACCCAGGAGGAGATGCGAAAGAGTTACACTGGTTAATTGCTGGACTGCAGACTATCATACAGACTATCGACGAAGAAACTGCGGACATATGCGGCAGAGAGAGCATGATGTCATGTCAGTCAGCATGATGCTCGAACTCCACCTCCCCCCCCCCTCCCCACCTGTTCAGAGCTATAGTGTGTTACAACAAAGTGCGTTATCACACTTCGGCGCGGCCATCCGGCTGACCTGGACTCTTCCATGGCGTGCTGGACGGTGAGCACGCGCGGGTGCCGCAGCCGCGTCAGCTGACTGACACCCTGCTTCAGCGTCTCCAGCATCAGGTCACGGTCGCGGCGCGCCCACTGGTCCATCAGACGCTTCTCCAGCACGAACACGGACGCCTCCTCGCGCGTCGACTTCTTGACGGCCGAGTACACCTTCCACATGAGACCTGTCGACAGCGCCGAGCACAGCGTCGGACGAGACCGCGATACTCATCACTGGAGCGTCAGCTCGCCCACAGCGACCACTTGCACCACGCCAAACCGGCGGTGGTCATAAGCCAAATGCACGCTGTTGTCGTCGTCACTGGAACCTTACGACGCTCTCAGCTCCTGAGGCCGTGTACCGTCGCCCGCTTTTCACCCAGGCGGACGCCAGGCACCCAGGCAGGAGGGGCGGGCACCGCAGAAAGCCAAGCCCTGTACCCCAGGTTTCCCAGAGCACAGCTCAATCACCAGTACCAGCACCCCAGCGCCCCATCAATCAGCATGTAAAACATCTACATAAAAGCATGTTGCAGTACCAACACACAATCACAAAGACAATGCCTCCTCGCTAGAACCCAGCAACACATACCTAATGGGTACTAACAAAATGACATTAACACCATCCTTTGGATTATATTTACAACAACATGCATTTGGTACGGAAGACGAAAAGTTTCGACGAGAAATGAGTCAGCAGCGATGCGGGCCGTCCAAGGACATCATGACTGGTGGAAGGCTGCACGCCCACACCGGCCGCACCCTATCACCGCCGCTGCCATCCGCCTATCAGGCCAGGACGTCAGAGCAGTGGAGGAGGGGCAGCACTGACCAGGGCCGGCACTGGCGATGTGCTGCGAGACCTCGTACTCGCGGGTGACCGGGTTGCCGGGCAGCACGCCCGACACCTGCGACACCGCCTGCGACACGGTCGACCTCAGCTTGTTGAGCATCTCCATGGTGGCTGATGTTCAGCCGCCTGCAGCGCAGGCGTAGGTGCTGATGCCAACAAGCAGGCCGTCTGGTGATACAGATGGGCTGGACCTGCATGACGCAAGTGGTGAATTTCAGCATATAAAACATTACTTGCTGGTGTTCTGCAGCAGTAACATGAGATTCGCTACATCTCATCACTATCAGAATTCATGTGTGCTATAAATATGCAAAAAAGCAAGACAGCTTGATGGAGTTCCACACAGCACATACAGTTTGAGAATGACAATGACAACAATATTTGCAAAATTTCTTCTGGCATTAACACACACCACTTTCCTATAATATGAGGCCAGTTAGCCAAAGCCGGGCAAACAAATCTATGGACAAAGGACCAAACATAATGCCTACTTTAATAACTAGTAGCATACCATTGGCGGTGAACAGCCCAAAGAACACAGAAAATGTTGGACAGCACAGTCACTCTCTGGAATCTGTGAGACACAACCAATCATGCAGAGTACATCTTATGGCCTTCCAATCACAATAAAAGTTGCTGATTGCTGACCTGATCATACATGCTCATACAATTTGATATTGCAAATCAGGGACTTCAAATATTTTAAACAAGCATGATAAAGATCTTGAAAACAACTTTGATTATAGTTATCTATTTTTTAGTGATCACAGCTGGCTCACAAAACAAATCAACAAACATTTTGGAAGATTTGTTCTGTAATTTGGCTGGGCTTAGGTGTGCTTTGAATATGGTCAAAAACTCATAATTTGCGCTATTTTGTGAGGTTCTTAATCCACCCATGAGTCTAATGAGTATAGGAACAACATAAAAGAAGCACATTACTTATGTATACCACCCCCAAACATCTATATTTTGCATCCCTTGCTTCCTCTCCCACTGAGAAAACATTACAGAATGTGCATGGTGGTGCTAGTACATCCTGGCATAAAAATTAGATCCCTGATTATAAGGATTTATGAGAAGAAAAATGCCTCAGACCTAAATAATCAATTAACACCAACAAAAAATCATGCAGCAATCAAGTATAGAGCAAATATGGGTAACACCATGCAATGGTAGTGAAAAGTGGCCTCACACTAAGGGTTCACATCTTTTTATCTGATTATTATTTTATTTTTCTCAGGCCAATTCATGCATCAAGTATGCTGACCACAATTTATACATCATGCACCCATGGTGTGTGTTCATGCATGCTGATCATCCAGACCATCTGGTCATGCACCAGGGCCAGCCTGCAAAAAAATAATTGATTACAGGGTGCTTATATGTCAGTGCTCTATGCCTGTAGCATGCAAGCATCAGTCTCAAGCCTGGTCAAATAGCCCTGAATTTTCAAATTTTGTTTACCTGGAAACATGTCTTTTGAGTATTTTTCCTTTGACACCCTTAGAAACACTATACCCAATTCCTCCAAACATGAGCTTGCATATGCTGATATTGGTGGTGAATGCACACTAAACTATGGACTCCCAGACTTACAGCGTGCATATGCTGAAACTATTGCAGGAATGTTGCTGTTACTCTGGACAGTTCTGATGTGACAGATAGCTTCTCATCTGATGCATATGCCCTAAAGTAGAAATCATGATTGGCATGTATCTGCCTGCCTACCTGGTAGGTGTTCAATGGCAGAAAACACCACGTATGTCATGTACCAGTGAACTCACTGACTCGTGGCTGCACCGCCTGGTGCCTCCTACATGTCTCTGCTGCTACTTACTGCTACCGCCACCGTCGCCCTTACGGCGAACAACTGAAATCTTACCAATGGCAGACCCGGGTCCCTCGACACAAATTCTTCACTTGTTAACGTTTCCAGCTCCTCATAGACACAGGGTATTCGTAAATCCGGATATTTACCTTATATGGGACCAACCAACGTCTGCACCTGTGTATCGTGGATACCGCATATATGATTCACAGCCGCCCTGCGTCATAAAGCGATATTTCGCGCCGAGACCGTCCACTTGTAGGAGCAACTCTTCGATCCTCGATCCGAGCGGAAACGTGGATATGATTCCCTTCTAGACGCCCGTGGCTTGAACGTGGCCGACTGATGATGCGGTGGCTGCTTTAGATCATCTTAGTTCAGAACGTTAGAAAATAGCTATTTGATGCCACGCAGGAGATACCAGGGGACCAAAGGCCCACCGTACGTTATTTCTGACCAGTTTGCTTTAGCCTGGGCTAAAAATCCGCCTTTTCTTATTTTCCCACCAGCGCGGCTCATCCAATTTGTTAAATGCCGAATCGTACATCGCGCAACAAAGAATCACATCACTCGCCAACGCATGTGGGATTTCGTCGTCCACTGGTCATGCCAATGTTTGACCACTGCCTACAGGGCCATGCAGTCACCATTTCATTGACGAAGACTTTCAGAGGTAGGTTCTACGCTTGATGCAGAATCAATATGATCCATCCTCTCAAGCAGTACTCGTAGGAGGCCACACAAATTGGTTGACAATGGTTTATTGTTAACACCCAGACGCCGTCCGATGTCAAACAGCAACTGTCCAGGGTGAGTCGAACAAGCGGCGGCGCTACGACGGCTGACCTGGGTCGGCAGCACATCCCACCGACTCCGGTTATGCCACCAATGTCATTTCGCCTCGGCGGGAGACACCTTCACCAGGTCACGGCAGCCGCAGCATGCCTGCGGGCTGCCGCGTCCGGAAGGAGTGTCTGGGACACCGGCGCGGTCTCGTGCGATTGCCCGGGTGCTTCTACACCTTCTTGCAATCACGACGCGAAAGCGACACATGGAGTTCGAAAACTGCCGCATAGGCATACATCACTTAGCCTACGATGAAAAGTGATAACACGTACGCTGATGATTATAAGACACGCTACTTGCCGATTTCGCTGAAATATTTCCACCATCTGGTGGCAAAAATAGTACTACAATTTCGCCAAACAATCGCTCTAAGCAGGAAAATGCAATGATCACAATTACATGGACATTTCCTTGCGGTTTATGCAATACTTTCTCTCATGTAAGTGATGTGTTATCACACTGTTTTATTGGTAACATGGCATTATTGCAGCCCAAGCACGACCGAAAAGGAAAGGATGCGGTTCAGGAGTGCAGCCATGATTTCCTTGGGGGGTGGGGATGAAAAGGGAGCTGAGTTAGTGCGCACCACGCTATTTTTTCCTTTCGGAAACCATCTATGGTCAAAAAAGCAAGCCTGAGGGCGCCGGGGGCCTGCCTCCTCCTTGCCTGCGCCCCTGGTGTGGCTTCATTGGTATTAAAGCTTGACGGCACTTGAACGTTTGACGGTTGACGGAAGACCAGACTGACATTTGGGGCAGCACATGTCATGCTGAGCCATTGTGCATGTACCGAATGATTATCAATAAGTTTGATAACTTTATCCATCCGAGATGTCCACTGCTTAATTTTAATCGAATGGCAGCGAACTACCAATCGGCAACAAAGGCTTGGTCGAAACGAACCAATTTTTTTTCGCGCCACACGCCGTCGCACGCTGCCAGGCTGTAAAACAAGGTAAAACGTCTTACCAGGACAAGGCCCGCAGGATCGGGATACGAGATCAGCGACTAAGGAAAGGCCGTCCAGAGAGCAGCGCGTCCTGCTGCTCTCCCAAGTCGCGGTGGGACGGTGAAGCGTAACACGGGGGTGAGCGGAGCACACTCGGGGCCGGTGACCCTCGGTCACGCCGCTGACCGAGACAGGACACCTGGCGCGGTACGGCCGTATACCCGCGCCCAACCCCCAACAAGCTTATCTACCGACCGACGGCCTCTGCCGCGCCCGGCCCGGCGGAGGTCCAACGCTTAAGACGCAGCCGCGGGCGGCACACCCGGCGCACTGGGACCGGGCGGCTGACCTGACCCCAGCCCTCCTCAGAGGACTTCGTCCAGGGCGGTGCAACCGCGCTACGGAGGAGCAGTGTTCTCAGCCGCTCTCGTGTGGCACGGAGTCGGTGCCGTGAAGAGCGCGCCGCGCCGTGCGCTGGTGTCCGACCGCCGACGCCTCGCCGGTCCTGCAGTGTAGGTGGGCTGCGTGGTCGGGCCCAGCCGGCGGCGGACGCCACTTAGCACGCCTGCCGTCCCAGCTGCGCGGCCGCCCGGAGCCGCCCGTTATAGCTCCATGTCGCGCGCCTCGTCCTCCGAGAAGTCGGACATGGACGACTCGCTGCCGCTGACCGAGGACGCGTCGGCGTCGGCGGGCTCGGCCGGCGCCAGCGCCTCCTCCGTGGCGTAGCGACGCACGTACTCTGCCAGCAGGGTGGTGCTGATGGGTCGGCGGCTCGGCCGCGCACGGTCGGCGGGAGATCCGCTGCCGAGTTGCGGCACTGGAGAGGCGGTGCACCAAGCCAGCTGAGATAACTATCGACAACATGTTGTGATTCGGATTCGGCTCAAAGGCACTGATGCTTAGCATTTCTGTCACGATGGGAAAAGAGTTAGCACATTTAAAGAGTCTGAACGGGTTTAACAGGCTGCACCAGATTACATGTATTCATTTCTTCTATTCTCTTTAACGCTGGCCACATTGACAACGCATATACTCACCGATGACCTTTTTCTTGTACTCTTCAGGCTTGTGCATGTACAACGCTGCCGCGTCCCCGTTTAACGGATCTATCGGGTTTGGGTAGGTAAGCAGCTGAGGCAGAAATGATTCGAAGATGTTCGAGAGATCTGGAACGGAAAACAATACATGCCGTATTCCGCATTTTTTGGCAGCCAGTCGCAGACATGCTTGCTGCAAATAACTAATCGCTTTAAGTGGCTGTATCAAAGGCACTGAACGCCAGCGTCACAATCACCAGGCCCGGACTTGAGACTTGATGCGACCGGCTGTCCGAAAGTCCATCGACGCCTTTAACCCAGGGGCGGCGCCATCAGGTTGCCAGGATGGGCATTCGGTCCATCCGGTTGTCATGCCGGGCTGTGTGAGAAGTGGCAATTCTGTGGTAGGGCGACCCAGCTATGATTGACAACGTGATGGAATAATTGAGACGTGGCTCCATTTCTGAAGGGATCAGGTATGGTTGTGAGTGAAGGTGCTGCAGGGTTGCTGTGGCGAATGATGATCTTTGGTCATCACAGGAGCATCAGGAATGGTGTCCTCGTGATTGAGAGCAGGCGCTGGTAATAAAGAGCTCAGTAATGTTGACACGCTAGATGAACATGACGGTTGGGAATGCACTAGCATCAAAGGATGCATGCTTATTTCCAATATTACATGTGAAAAGTTGTTCACATGCATTTCAGAGATGTGGCAGATAACTGTCAATAAGAAGGCTTCACCAACACTGCAGATGCTAAGAAAATAGAAAAAAAGACAAAGTACTGTACAATAAGGCACTGACACTATAGAACATAGCATCACAAATAACCTCAAAATCAGAACTAGTCCAACTGACATACCATACAGGGCTGTCCAGGCCTGGTTGATGACATCCAGGCAAACAGTGCCAGACACCTCATCGATGTTTGGGTGGTACACCTTGTTCATAAAGCCAATGCTGGGGGATCTGAACGGGTAGTGCTCAGGCAGGTGCACTCGCACCTTCCACACCCCACCCTCATATGGTGCTGTGGAAGAGAGACACCAGTTGGTCCATCTGCGCCACTGGGGTATGGCACATGCACAGGTGATCAGACTGCACCACTGCAGGACATAAGAACTTGTCAGACTGGCACAACTTAAGACAGCCAAAGGCTGAGCAGGATCAACCCCAGCAGCAGGCTAGTGGGAGGCTTAACTCATGCTGCATATGAGATAAAGTACATTCACAAGTGGGGTTGTATCAAAAGCTAAATATGTTGGGCCACTCCTGAAGAACATATTTTACCAAAAAGGAACAAGTTCATGAAGATCCATAACACCCTTCTACTATACTCGTACTAACGTGGGGTTCATCATCAATCATGCTCTGCTTAAAAGATGGCAACCAAAACCTTCAAATGTTCATGAGCTGACAGAATAAGAATAAACATAGATAAGTCAGTCCACTTACTGCCTTTTGGTCCATAAAACTTGACTGAAAACTCATTGAGACCTCCCATTATTGTCACTTCATGCTTGCTCTCAATCCTGAGCTAGAAGTCAAGGAAGGACTTCTCATGCTGGTTTGTCATTGTCAAAATACCTAGCACCATTCATATCACACATAATGCAAATAAAAAATAATCATACCACATGATACCACCTGCAACTTTGGGACAAACTTACTAACAAAGCATGTATGTTTACCAGCACAAAAATAATGCAGCTATAGCATCATGCAAGAGAGCAATGTACATTCATTTTCACATTCACATTCAAGCATTGTCCTTAGATCCATGTAATTTAACTACCAAAGCAGTGTTTAAAACCTTGATAGATATAGACATGAAATGTACTTAAGTTCCTGTTGCCGCATACTTCAGTCCCACAGACTGAAATCTCTTGCAGCCAAAACATCAAGACATTTCAGTTAATGCTTAAACCTTGCGCGCTGCACAGTTCAACCACATTTCTGCCTGCCCCATCCGCTGATACTGCAACAGATGTGAAGTAAATAAGACAAACTGAAACTTCGTATAACATGCATACTCGGCCTAAAGCTCTCCTACATAGGCCACACCAGCTAATTGTTTTTGCTGGTCGCATGTTATGCATGCTTCAGAGGATACAGTTTGATGACGTCCGTGTCCATTCGCTTTTTTCCTGCGCTGGGAGAAGACATCTTGACAGAGTCCCTCCAGCGGTCAAACGCCAACCACTCTTTCTGGGGTTTCTTTTAGGCAGCGCGACACTGGCAGCACCCAAACGGAAAGTCCCAAACACAATGGAGAGACGATTCCAGGGTGCGATGCGTACTGAAGGGCAATGA